AGGCATGTCCTAAAACTAACTTTTACCGTTTAATATATAATTTCTAAAAATATTGTCAGCCCATTACAATCATCTTTCAAATACTTTCTGTTCTATAATAGCTATAGTTACAGGAGCAAACAAAATGAATTGATTATCAATTGTACATACTAAGAAAAAAATAGTCACAAAACAAGACAGATATATTATATTCACAGGTGATATGTACATATTTCTAAAATTCTACATCAATGGACGCTGTCATCCGAGAAGTAGGCACAAAAGTATTGCGGCCGAAAACATTAAGAATATTCGCTGTAACAAGCATTGTTACTCGTAAAATAATAATTATGAAGCAAATAGGGCAGTTATAACGTCAATGAGACCGTTTGGGAAACGCAAGATGTAGGTACTTAAGATCGAAGTTCAGTTGTAAGCTATAAGATAGGCAAAAAAGGAATACAGAATTGATGTGAGGAAAAACGGAAAGAAAGGGAAAGAAAATGACAGACAGAATTACAGAGAAATAAAATGGCGAAGACGTTTAAAAAATGCGCAAGAACATTCAAAAACAATTAAATACAACAAATAACATAGGTATTCATTATTTATTACTGAATCATAATTTATAACCTGGATAAACACAAGAACGTCGGTTTCACTTATTACTGGACGTGCAAAATTTATAGTTTGTAGATCAGAGAGTGGCCAGTAATTCTTTACCCCAGAAACATCCCTTATTCATCCATAATTACAAATTTAATGACTTTGAAATCGCTGGTAAAATACTATAATAATATATCGTTTTAATAAAATTCACAAAGTGAGAAAACGGTTTAGCTTCTTTGAAAACCGGCAAAGGCTGTACAGCCAAAAGCAGAAAATTAAAGCAGTAAAGTAAAAGCAAATTTATGGCAAAAAAATGACATGGAATTTTGCTGAGTATTCGAGATTTGGGAATTAAGAAAATATCATGTAAAAACACGAGGTTAAAAAATAGTTAATATAAAGTTAAAATTAGTTTTAATTAAAAAGTTTTTAATATTATGTTTTCAATTGCATCCTCTGGACTTGCGAAAGTAGTATCCTTAGTCTGGTGCAGTTGGAAAAGCCACAATAATTTTACTTCAACAAATGATATTTTGAACTGTCAAAAGCTTAGCTTTGTAAGTACGACAGTGGCTCGAGCGAAGTTCGTCAGGAGCCGTAGTTATTATCCAAGTTAATTGTTTTCTCGCCTTATGCGCTTCTTAATGGGCCATTTATATCTCAGTAACGCTTATATTGTACACGTTTCGTATTGTTTAGGAGCACAAGACATTGTCTTAAATTTATTTAAGTACACGTTGATAAAATTTATGTTTAAATAACCTTTCGTAAGAGTACTGTGACGAATGTTATATAATATGGTAATTATTTAAAATAATATAAATAATATAAAAATCAAACGGTTATTACTGTTTTAATACATATCTATTATAACGAAATAATAGAATTCTGTATATTACGCCATCGATATCCATTTTTAATGTGCACACTGCACTGTCTGTTATCTATACTAATATTATAAAGAGGAAAGATTTGTTTGTTTGTTTTTATTGAACAGTCTCCGAAACTACTGAACCGATTTGAAAAATTATTTTACTGTTTGGAAGCTACGATAATCCCGAGTAACATAGGAAATAAACTTTTTTGAAAAAAATTAGGGACCCTTACTAAAACTACAATAATGTAACTCAAGGTGTAAGAAAGTTACCTAAAATATTCTTTACATGGCGTGCCCTGCGAAAACTATTGATGATAGAATAAAATAATGTACTACGACTTTGTAGAACACATTATTATTTACAAAAAGTGTCGCAACAGCATATGTCTAACTATTATAGTTATGCCACAATAAGTGTTCTTTTATTTTTTTAAATAAAACAACGTCAAATATCATTGAAATTTTTGTTAAAGACCCGAGTGAAGCCGGAGCGGGCCGCTAGTATTTAATAAACTAAACATGTGTGTAGGTTAACTTTCGATTTTATTCTCCAAAAAATTTAATAGGTAGAAACTACTTCATTATGACTGGCACAGGTAGGTATCCTTATCCTATATCTGCTGTTAAGCAAACATGCTTTCCGGGTTAAATGATAAAATAGCCGTTACACAATAATTTGTGACATCGACATACATACATACATACATACATATGTCTTAACATAGGCGACGTATACTCCTTGCCATGTCTACCAGTGACCTCTTAAAACCTGATGAGTCGATCGGTTCTGGTCCACCGATATATTTCAATAGAAAAGTAACTTAATAAAAAAACATCGTAAAATATTTTCATTGATTGGTACCGACATTTTTCCAGTTCGTGAAAAGAATTCGTTACATCTCATTATTTCCGTAATGTATATTACTTACGCCGGTACGTTCATAAAATGAATGTTTTCTCCCGTTGAATATAAATGAAAAGTAAAATTGACCGTAAATAGTAATTATTTTTTGAATTCTATAAAAAAAAACGTGTGGCACTCGGGAACTGCCGCGGTTATTGCATAGCATTTTTCATCAACTTATGCAATTATAATTAGACAATGATAATTTAATATTAAAACAATAATAAAACAAGACCACGCTATATTAACATGAATAAAAACAAAACCTTAACTGTCCCCTTCACACTCATAAGCTAGACCGCGCGAGAGAGAGATGGGCAGACTTTTCATGATGCGCATGCAGTGTGACATCACGCCACGCGCTTATTCACAAACACTACACAAGCGCAACGTGTGAATGTGTTGAACGCGAGCTACATGGTAGACGGAGTGAGAGGTGTTAGGTTTATTTCGTTACGGAATTTCATGATTCGGTCGCCGCGCTCAAGGCCCGCGATAAAAGCTATGCAATAGCTTAAAAAAAGTTTAATTTAAAATTAATTCAGCAATTCTGACGATTCGATCGAATTACATTTTCCATGGCTCACGGTGTACTTGATGGAAAATGATTTGTGTCGCGCTCATGGACAAACGAGAATAGGGAAGCCTCGAACTCGCCTTAAATATTCTTAAATTAATAATAAATGTTCAAGAATTTTCAACGTTTACTATTCCCACACTTTTACTACGAGTGTATGAAAACCCTTAATGTGACACTAGGGCTGACACGAAAGATGCATATTATTGCGCATTATTTTCGAATACATAATATGTTTGGAAACCCTACTGCACCAGAATTGGAATGCGTTTGCACATGGGTGAAGCTGTGAAAAAAGGGCGCATTATTCACTGCCAACTCGCCTTTGCACTTTCTTCTTCTTCTAGCCTTTATCTCACTTTATATGGGGTCAGCGCAGCATGTCTTCTCATTTACTTAATTCATTATCAAATGTGAATGTATTCAATCAAATATCACTTCGTAAGAACGCTACATCGATTAGAAAGCAAATTTAAAAAAGTCAGCTTTATAGTTACAGATCGTTTCATGTATAATACCGTTCGCAGCTATTAGGATTTCCGTCTGGATTCCACAAACGGCTGAATGTAGGCTGTAATTTCCTACTGCCGTATAAGTACACACGTCTCTATCTATTGTTGGAAGCCTTTAACGGGAGCCCGGCATTCAATATGAAGCGATGACACAACTCTTTGCTACACTAATGGCTTTAAGTTAAGTCTGGTATCATCGAACAGGGCTGGCCTATTTTTATGCATCAAAAACATATCGTCTTCTCGCATTAAAACTGAGTATAATCTCAAAACTTACACAACATATGATATTTTTAATATTAATCACTATAACTATAAAAACTATTTAGCTACGCTCTTTTGACAGTATTTATGAGAAAAATAGTAGTGGTACCAAATGATTCCGCACATTAACTCAATTTCGAATATTTTTGGAAATTGTACACTTTAAATTTTACAAACGAATAGTCTTGCTGTATTTTAGTATTACTACTATAACAACTGTAAATGGTAACAAAAAGACAAAAACCATTGAAAAATTAAGTCCACTGTTTGTATTTATCCAGCTATTTTCAGATTCACCCGAAAATACTACTGCGATACTTTTCGGAACCGTCTGATAAATGAATATACTATTAAAATTTATATTCTGACATTCGAAAAGAATGTCATCTGAAATAAATAATATTTAAATTGGGTTGAAATATTTAAAGGTTCTAAATAACTATGTATACAAAATTATTAGTATTGTAAATTGAAGAAAATACATTTTCAGAAAGTTTAAGAGCAATCGAAATTGGAACAAACAATTTTGCGATACTATTTTTCAGTTTACAAAATTACTAATGATGCTTTGAAATAGGTCGTCGTCTGCATACAAATCAAGCCAAATTTCTTGTTAAACCAGGTCACAGTCACCTGCCAACATTAAAAGCAGGAATAAAACTAAACATGCTAAAATAGTTGATTCTAAAAATAAATGTCAGTTTGCGCGACACAGAAAAACCGTATTTTTTGCAAATAAACATATTTTTGACATCCTTATTTTTTAGGAATCGAGGGATTTTTTTTTGTTTGAGTACAAAGACGTTATATTATGATTGCGTAAAGAAAGAAACGTAACTGTCATTTCTTTGAAAGAATGTCTGAAGTTGTTTTCTAATAATTGTCTTCGAATGATATTGAATTTCTGAGCAGAATGTTTTTAATTTTAAACAGTCCCAGATTTTTATTTTCTGAGATTCCAAACATTTTTTTTTATTAAGACACATAAAGTTCAAATTATTATATTAATTTTAAAATAGATTGTTTATCTTCTAAGACACTAAGTAACTTCGACTCTCTCTCTCTTTTAAGGTTGCTTATGACCGTCATTTGGATTTACCTAATATCTTAACAAAATGTCTGCAGAACAGGACACTTTCACGTTCTGACGTCAATGGTCTCAAGTAACCACTACGAAGTCGTTAAATTATCTACAAATTATTTATCAAAATATTCAAAAGCTCCTAAACAAATTTCACTGCCTTTCAAATTGTTACAATTTTTTTCTCTTGTTTTCAGGTCGGAAATGTTCGTCAGCACTCGAGGGCGCTAATGAAGCAATCCGCCAACGGGATATTGGAGTAGCAGTCGTTGGAAGCGTCTCTAAAGTGCAATAAAACAATTCGCCTCTACCGCAGCAACTAAACGAGCTAATACAAACTGTATCGACCAGCACAAAAGATACACTTTCCAAGTTACTAACAATCCAATGGCTCCATTTGAAATCGAAAAGAAAGTCCACACAATATGTCAATTAAAACCTATTCTGGATTGTAATCAAGCGCGCCAATACACAAGCAAAAAATTACACGACGAGGTCGTATTCCAGACTTGACTGCGTCAGCCGCTTCTATGACCGCTATACACAACGAAATCAATGTATGGTAACGCCAGGAAAACGAGATTAAACGTCACCCAGCCAAGGGTTTCGTATGGCGACTTCAAATAATAAATCCCACTCACTGCCTAGCTTTATCGCTTTACCTTCGAGCCTTCTCATACTGGTGTTCATAGTTCTTTTGCAAAACAACGTTGCGGCCACATCTGATTTCACAGAAACATCCCCGGAATACGATTACATATTGACCAATAACTCGACCCTGAACTGGACGTTTTTCGAAGGAAACGCCAGTCACAAGCCCGTGCACATAAAACATTCAAAATACTCCGCCCCCGTTTCAATTTTCTTATCATTATTGTTTTTGGTCGTGATAGTTGGAACGATTGTTGGTAACATTCTCGTTTGTGTGGCCGTTCGACTGGTCAGAAAATTGAGGAGGCCGAGTAATTATTTAATAGTATCACTGGCGGTCAGTGATCTGTGTGTCGCAATCATAGTCATGCCAGTAGCCACTGTATACGATATAATGGGATCTTGGCCCTTTGGACCCGTAATTTGCGACTTTTGGGTATCGAGTGATGTTTTGTCGTGCACCGCAAGCATCCTGAACCTCTGCATGATCTCAGTGGATCGATATTACGCGATTACGAAACCATTAGAATACGGCGTGAAGAGGACACCGAGGAGGATGCTATTTTGTGTTTTCATAGTATGGATAAGTGCAGCTTTCATTTCTTTACCACCAGTTTTAATACTAGGCAACGAGAAGACTGAGACCTCGTGTTCTGTTTCCCAAAATCAGTATTACCAAGTTTATGCTACGTTAGGATCCTTCTATATCCCGTTGACTGTTATGGTAATTGTGTATTACAAAATATTCAGAGCGGCAAGAAAAATAGTGAAAGATGAGAAACGTGCTCAATCGCATTTAGAAGCGCATTGCTATCTCGAGATTAACGTTAAGAATGGAGGAGCGACCGAAGCGAAACTTCTCGGCGCCCAGACCACGACTCAACCGCCAAGAGGATCTACAGCCAGCACTAACACAACTGTAAGAAAATTTAATTAAATTTCAAATATAATTTCATTAAAAAATCCTTTCTTTGCGATTTTGCTTATTTCAATTGTCAATTTAATGAAAAAGAAATTAATCCTATTTTGAAAGGTTTCGAAGATATATATATTCTATCAATTCATATTAGACTTATTTCATAACAATTTTAGCTCATGTTTCAAATTGATATCTCTGGGGGTAAACTCGTGAAATAAGTAAATGAGTGACGACAACCACTCATTTCGCTGTAGGTAAAATTACAAGATTACGCTGAAAGGTTCTTAAAAAACAAATTCTCTGAGTAATCTCCGAGTACATTCAATGGTTGTTTATCTATTGCAGTGCAGCGTTGAGAAAACCGAAAGCGGGATTGGACGGTGCTTTAGTGGCCAGCGGAAATCAAACGAATCCCAGTATCCGATGCTTAACCAACCAAAGACCCCAACTAAACCTATTCACACTATAAATCGATCTCCATCTACACTAACACCAAACAACAAGCTATTAGTTAAAGAACGAAGTCGCGAGTCGTCGGAGAGCAGTAACAAAATAAATACAAACAGAATTCGCTCATCCCTCTCTAATTTTGCTCAAAAAAGTCATAAAGCCAAAGATATGTTCCAAACGCAGTCGCCGCATCAAAAGAAGCTGCGGTTTCAACTGGCGAAAGAGCGGAAAGCCTCCACGACCCTCGGGATTATTATGTCAGCGTTTATAGTTTGCTGGTTACCGTTTTTCGTGCTGGCCTTACTCAGGCCGTTCCTGAACGAGGACGCTATCCCGGATGCAGTGAGCGCTCTATTCCTCTGGCTGGGCTATTTAAACAGCCTACTCAACCCAATCATTTACGCGACATTAAACAGGGACTTTCGGAAGCCTTTCCAAGAGATTCTGTTCTTCCGGTGCTCGAACCTGAACCACATGATGCGCGAGGAGTTCTACCACAGCCAGTACGGAGATCCGGACCATTACTGTGTAAACAACACGACCAAGCTTAATAACTACGACGAAGGAGTCGAAATAGTTTCGGCTGTCGACAGAGAGGAGACAAGAGCATCAGAGAGCTTTCTATGATTGTCAATACCGGAGGTCCAAACTCGAGACCTGGATACTGTGATCTAATAAAGACTAATCGAGTTTTTTTTAAAGTGTAACGTCATTTAACCTGTGTTATCGTTTCTTTAAGGTTTTTTTGAAATAATCGTTTATTATAAAAGGCTGTTTAAATACGACTAGTCGTGACTTGTAAATATGTACCCTCTGGAACATTCGTTTCTCTTGTCACATACAAATTCGTGTGGTACACGATGTACAGGTGTATTCGTAATTATAAGCATTCTGTAGATATCGTAGGTAATTAGCATAATTAATTTATTAAAGTTTCGTAATTGACCAAAGAGGTAAATTTAATTTACGCGAACTAAGTGTCGTAAGTAAAATATAAGCTGTTGTGAATTTAATAATGTTTTAATTATTTTAATTTGTTTTTGAATAATTCTAATTTATGTATTGACATTTGGAATTCGTGGTCGCGATAGTTAATTCTTGTGATAATAGTAATAGCGGGTACGTTATTAGTACTGCACAATAATTTTGTACGATACTTGAATGTTCTATCCCACGTAAAGATGAATTTAAAAATACCAAATATAGTTACGGAATATATGCATTCGCAATACTGTTTGTTCTTTTGTAATCTTGTAAGTAAATGTATGAAATATGAATAAGCTGCAAATATTTCATTTTGAAATATGGAAATGAAAAATTTTAAAATTTCGTAATAGGCCAGACTTAAAATAAAGTACACGGATTCGGTATTTAATGAAGTGTAAATAATGTTTAGTTGTAATTTAGTTCAAATAAATAATATGAACCTAGATTTAATGTAGACATAGTGATTCGCAGTAACTGTGTGGGGAAACTACGCTTGGAAAAAAAAATGTTTGGAAATTTTAATTGATGTTTTTATTCAAATAAATAATATAATAATAGATATACCAGTTCTCTTGTTGTAGTTTCTTTCCAGTTGTGAATATGATTGTTGTGGGTAGTTTCTTAATGTGTAATTTTAGCCCAATTTAGTAATTTTGAATCGTATTACAAATTATTTTCAGTCCGTAACTGATCCTTCTAAGCATGACCAAATTGATAAATTTATTTAACGCATTAAAAGACCCGCCACGCTTGGCAATCAAATTGAAATATACTTTAGCAGAATATTGCAAACATACCCAATAGAGATTGCCAGCAGGAAAAAAACGGAGACGCTGTTTGCACAAATGATACACATGAAAATTTACATATTAATATGAAATTAAATAAAAAAAAGTCTTCGGCCAAAAAAAACAGATTACGTTAATCATAATCAGATCAGACCGATGGAATGGTTTTTTTTTTACTAAATAGTACAATAGACAAATAATGATGACACAATGCAACATATAAATAATTAATACAAAATAAAAAGGAATGCAAATACTGAAATGGATAGATTCTTACCACAATCTTTAATTTAATTGGCTCGGAAAATTGAGCCCCGTTGCAAGCGTCATGATTATGAAAGATTAAAAACTGATAGTAAGGTTGAAGAAGGTGGTAAAAAAATAATAGAATATTAGGAGCCACTGTAACTGCATGTAATAACTAATCCTTTCGAAAATATAGGCAATCATCGAAATAAATATGCTCGTAAAGAAAAAGAATGCAGAGATTTAAACAATTTTTTTACTATAGCTTTAGCTTTGTTTGTAACGTACAGTTAAACATACCAAATACTTAATTTAATGATGCGACAAAGACCAAATGCGGACTGGAAATCCAATAAAACCTACAATAAGATAAAAAAAAGCGTGTGGCACTCGGGAACTGCCGCGGTAAAGCTATTGCATAGCATTTTTTATCAACTTATGCAATTATAATTAGACAATGATAATTTAATATTAACACAATAATAAAACAAGACCACGCTATATTAAACATTAATAAAAGCAAAACCTTAACTGTCCCCTTCACACTCATAAGCTAGACCGCGCGAGAGAGAGATGGGCAGATTTTTCATGATGCATGCAGTGTGACGTCACGCCACGCGCTTATTCACAAACACTACACAAGCGCAACGTGTGAATGTGTTGAACGCGAGCTACATCGTAGCCGGAGTGAGGGATGTAAGGTTTTTTTCGTTACGGAATTTCATGTTTCGGTCGCCGCGCTCAAAGTCCCCGATAAAAGCTATGCAATAGCTTAAAAAGAATGTGTACATAACTAAATATTTAAAATACGTTCAAAATCATTAAATAACATGCTGTTCAAAACAAAATATTATAATAATTAATATTTTTCTGCCATAAAATGTAAATTAGTACCTACATCAAAGACGCTACTTTACGAAATATATTTGTTTTCACATATACATACAAAACCATATACTAATATCTGCAAATGTGTGTATACCTATAAAAGTGATCAAAATAATGCTCCAAATCACGATACATGATTGGCGACTTACACATAAACAATTGTACTCATTCTCATTATAAATCTCGGTACAGCTTAACTGGGACATAACAACCGAAATTACAAAAATCGATTATGTGATCCTTATGCCACTGAAAATAAGGATAGAACATATTTATCCAGAGCTGTTGGGCGTACGAGGTCACTGATTTCTAGGACTAAGTTTCTCGCCGAAACAAAGCGTGGTAGAAATCTGAAATGTATTATTGTAATGTGTTATTGCAACACTGCCCACCAATATATACGGGAGTCGATTAATTCTACGGGTTAATCGGACCTAAAGTTTTTCTCAGTCTAGCACATACACTACAAGAGCATTGATTTTGATCGGATCTATAAATGGTGACGTAAAAAATCTTAGACATGCAATAGGATACGCTTGCATTAAAACACGCCTCACATTTAATCTTGTATAAATAACCTAAATAAAATGATATTCACTTACGTAAAATGCACTCAATTAATTTTTGAATCGTCACTATGATAAATTTGAATATAGATTTCAATGTAAATAGAACTTTAACGTGAGCTCTTACAGTACAAAATATGTTTAGTTGCCTTTCGGTATCATATTGTAGTAAAAAATGTTTCTATGTAAATTGTGCGGGTAGTTTGAATATCTACCTTGAATAGGACTAGTTTAAGTTTTATTTAAAAAAAAAAACTATGGTCTCTTTTGGTAACGTTGTAATTTTCTTAAGTAGAATCCTGAAAGTGATGAAATAAACAACGTTAGAATATAAACTTGTGTTTTTTTTTAATTAACACCTGAAATAATTGAATATAGGAACCTTTTCTATTTTCACTATACGGGTAGTTTTATATTCGCTGATTACGAGAGTGCATTGACTTCACAAATTTAATGATGCATCCCACGTTGAGACATTTATATTTATTAAAATTATACACATCTACTTTTTATTATAACTCGTTCCTGCATAGTGGAAATCGTTCGTGAACACTTATTAAGTACATATTTCTAAGAGAAAGCACTTATCTACTTTACCTTACCTACCACCACCCTGCTGGAGTCATGGTCCAGACGGCTGGCCGATCCTTCGGCTGGTCGTAGGACCGTCGAGGCGATTCGCCCGGTTCTTGTGAACTGGGTGAATCGTGACAGAGGACGCCTCACTTTCCGGCTCACGCAGGTGCTGACTGGGCATGGTTGCTTCGGTGAGTTCCTGCACCGGATCGGAGCCGAGCCGACGGCAGAGTGCCACCATTGTGGTTGCGACTTGGACACGGCGGAGCACACGCTCGTCGCCTGCCCCGCATGGGAGGGGTGGCGCCGTGTCCTCGTCGCAAAAATAGGAAACGACTTGTCGTTGCCGAGTGTTGTGGCATCGATGCTCGGTGACGACGAGTCGTGGAAGGCGATGCTCGACTTCTGCGAGTGCACCATCTCGCAGAAGGAGGCGGCGGGGCGCGTGAGAGACGCACAGGCCCGCCGCCGTCGAGCGGGGGCCAGGGAGGCGGATATCGCCCAAGCCCTTGCCCTCTAAGTGTTTCGGGTCCCCTCACATGTCGGCCTGGGGACCGGCGAAGGGGGCCTAAGAAGACGACGTGCAAACTACTCTGCACGCGTTTTATGCATGAGCATCCGGGTGATGGAAGGCCGGCTATCCTCAACCCACGCTGGTTCTGACCCAGCGGGGTATTCCGTAGGATAGACCATTCTAACCGGCGCCATCTAGGCGGGCTTCGGATAGCCTGCCGACCGAGAGGGCTGGTGGTCGTGGCGCCGACAACCGCCAGTCCGGCGTCCCAAGGGGGAGGGTGATGGGAGAGATGTGCTCCGCACTAAACGCTTCACTTTCCCCCCTTTGCCTTTTCATGAGTTTTGTCTCATGCGAGGTTTGGACGTTGGTTGTTGAGAGACAGGAGGATTTAGTCGGTTCGACTCCGACATGCCCCGCCCTCCATCCCCAGTGAAGGGCAGAAGTCCGGCGATTTCCTCCTGACAAAAAAAAAAAAACCTACCACCACCCTGCCTATTTCTGCCGTGAAGCAGTAATGCGTTTCGGTTTGAAGGGTGGGGCAGCCGTTGTAACTATACTTGAGACCATAGAACTTCAGGTGGGCTGTGAGCTCGTCCACTCAAATAAGCAATTTATTACTGGTGGTAGGATCTCTTGTGAGTCCGCGCGGGTAAGTACCACCGCCCTGCCTATTTTTGCCGTGAAGCAGTAATGCGTTTGGGTTTGAAGGGTAGGGCAGCCGTTGTAACTATACTGAGATCTTAGAACTTATATCTCAAGGTGGGTGGCGCATTTACGTTGTAGATGTCCATGGGCTCCAGTAACCACTTAACACCAGGTGAGCTGTGAGCTCGTCTACGCATCTAAGCAATACTCCTGTAAAGTTACAAAAATATCACTTTAATCAAATACCTTTTACCCCTCGATATTAATATTTAAATTGAAATCAGGTTTAATAAAAAAAATGGCGACCTAAATATGTAAGTCTTGTCTCCTTTTTACCATCGCATCATTCGCCATCAGAGCAGAACTCACCGATATGAAATGGAACCGCTGCGATCACCCACAGTTCGTTTCCAGATCTGAAGAGTTGGAACTGCCCCTGGAATGGACTTCCCTTAACGATTTTTCTCGAACCCTATAGCACATTATTCCTCAAAATAGGTATAGACAGACTTCAGCTGTAAACAGCGGCTTGGCTGTGCCCTTGTGCTGTGGCTTGTGCTGGTGATTTTAATTGGCAACGATAACCACAGATGTTCGTCTGCTTACAAAACATCTATCTATATATATAAAAATGAATTGCTGTTCGTTAGTCTCGTTAAAACTCGAGAACGGCTGGACCGATTTGGCTAATTTTGATCTTAAATTATTTGTGGAAGACCAGAGAAGGTTTAAAAGGTAGATATGTATGAAAACACTAGGAATTAAATAAAAATAACAATTTTGTTTTTCCTTTGATGTGTCCCCCCCGTCGGACGGATTCCTTTTGTTTGTTTTAAGTTTATTTTATACAAAAGCTTAGGTCTTTTATTTATCGATTGAGGCACTACGAAGTCTGCCGGGTCAGCTAGTATCTTAATACAATTAAAACAAAAATTAATTATTGTCTAACAAGAAAGACTCCATAAAATTTTACGCAAATTTCCGCAATCTATTTTTCATTAGCAAAATATTCGAGTGTTGAAAAATGGCTCGACTCATCGCTCGTAGCACAAATAAAAGAATCTTAATAACGTTGTATGACGTCGTTTCGCCTTGCTTTTTTTTTTTGGTTTCGCTGACCTTTGCGGTTAAGGAAATAAGAAATAGGCTATAGTGAATCGAGTAGCGAACTAGGAATAAAAAAAATTGCATCACTTTTTAATGAGGCCTTAACGTAAATAACTATTCATCTAAAAATTATGATTTTCTCAGTGGGTCGTATTTCCGATCCGAATGCGTTTCGGTTTGAAGGATGGCGCAACCGTTGTGACTATACTGAGACCTTAGAACTCATATCTCAAGGTAGGTGACGCATTTACGTTGTAGACGTCTATGGGCTCCAGTAACCACTTAACACCAGGTGAGCTGTGAGCTCGTCTACGCATCTAAGCAATACTCCTGTAAAGTTACAAAAATATCACTTTAATCAAATACCTTTTACCCCTCGATATTAATATTTAAATTGAAATCAGGTTTAATAAAAAAAATGGCGACCTAAATATGTAAGTCTTGTCTCCTTTTTACCATCGCATCATTCGCCATCAGAGCAGAACTCACCGATATGAAATGGAACCGCTGCGATCACCCACAGTTCGTTTCCAGATCTGAAGAGTTGGAACTGCCCCTGGAATGGACTTCCCTTAACGA